TGATAGATTATCGCAGATTTTTAAAATTTGCATTTTAACTTACACAAGAATTAATTTTAGTGTCTTTTTAGAAAAAAAATATATTGTTCTCATTCCGATAAAATAGTTTAAAATACATTATCAACGGTAACTGTTCAATTACGAAATGTTTGGATGTGTTTTATCAGAGTTATCAAATTTTAAAAATTTTGACAGGTTATACCCGAATACCTCTAATAAGCTTCAGCCTCAGTTTGCAGTTATAAAATTAACTCTGATTTAGTTGACATTTTTTTATAATTATTTCTTTATTTTCAGTTGACAAAGAACAAAATCACTACAACCAATTACATCAATTGCTTTCACGACAAAGGACAGAATTGCAACATCCAAGTTTATGCGAATATGGTCGAAGGAAATCCGTATATCCCACTACTACAACTGGTACGTTGACATTTTATTTTCTTACATTTTTCTGGTATTTGTAGTTGTTGTTGCAGCCCTTATTTATTTCGCAGCAACGGACCTAAATGGCATATGAGAGCTCTTCAGCTACATAATTTCTTTAGAAAATTGGGATTAAATTTTTCAATAAGATATTTTTCAAAGGAACCGCTGCTGCCGCTGTCGGTAATATCAAATCCCATATCGCATTTCCCATGGTCAATCTATCCTTACTTCCTCTGTCAGCTCTTACCCGACAATCAAAGAACCCCTTCTATAGGAGCAATAATCGTAAAAATGCTAATTTTTACCTGCAAAATCGAGTTTTTCAAGTAACAGCTTGCGAATAAGCGAATATAACCATTACACATTTTTGTCGCTCAACCCTCTGCTTATTATTTATTATACAAATACTTCGAAGAACAGTTTTAACTTAAACTTTATTCAACAAAAATGCACCCTAGCAAAGGGACGAACGCGTCTCCAAAAATTATATGATACAAAGGACCCTATCGGAAAAATTACATCAAACTAAGACCAAGAAAACTAGTTTCAAGGTACGTAAATGACCGCTTAAAAGTTTCGCTTTTTTTAATATCCTAGTTGACCAGTGGTCAAGCGTAAGGGAAGTCTGGTTTCTCGATTCAACCCTTAAAACTAGATAAATACACTGTGGGAAAATGAAATAATTTTATCCGTTAGGATCCTATCGTACGCTTATCGAATTACTTTTTTCATGAATACGCATGAAACATCCCATATTTTATCTATGTTATGGTAATCCTTTGTACTTTTGCTTTGTATAATTCTATTTCATTATCAACTTATCGATTTATTAATTGTTATCCTTCTGTAACTTGGATTATGGAATTTCATGAGGAATAAATAATTAAAATAATTAGTTGTATGTAATTATGTTTTCAAAGGAACTTTTCTTTGCGTGTTTTGTTTATTCCATAAGTGCTAAACTATTTGTAGAGTAAGTGTCTTCGAGATCTTATAGAATGTGAACGTTAAATTGTTAAAAAAAAAGAAAATTATGAGAAATTAGTAAATTTTCTGCATCCTTGTTTTTAATTACTGACTGTTCGTTTTATAATACTTATTCGAATAAACTAGCGCGCTATTATTTATCACTTTCTCAACAATTACTTTTAATATCTCTTTAATTGAAAGTTGTTTCAGCAATTTCATTCATTATTCAAGCATTCTAAGTAGATTTCATAATTAAAAACTTTACTTCGATAATATTATAAAAGTATTAATTGGTTCCAATTTGAACAGATTTAAAAAATGTATTTCAGAAATAAACAAACTAGATAAATAATTTTTGGAAAAATATTGGAAATATCAACCTACTCTACAAAATATTTGTTCGTTCAATGCAATTGTCGTTTTCGTTACGCACAAAAATCTATTATTCATATTTGCCATATCTGACGTTGAGGTCTCTATATTCCAATATAATCACATCTGCCCATAAAGTATTATTATATCATCGAAAGCAACACCCTTTAGGTTGCAATTTTGGCATTCACCCACACATAATGCATTTTTCTTGAAAATCCGTGACAGCTGTTCGCAGATCAATCCAACATATCGCAACCCTTCGCAAACACGCGTCAAAAGAGCGCATTTTTCGGAAAAACATCCTAGCGTTTAACATAATCCTTTCGATGAGTGTGCAGAGTGAAACCGAATATTTTGGTCATCGGGGTTTCGAAAGTTGACACAATACAGGGTTGTACAGCTGTCCAACGAAAGGCCAAATTCAACCCTTTTCAAAGTTGCACAACAAAAATATTAAGTCTCATCTTTTTATTTGAACAAGGAAGAATGCCGCAAGATCAATATTGTTTCTTCGCGTTGAATGGAGATTATGACCCAAAGAAACTCGACGATTTCTTTTGATGTTGCAATGACCTTTAGCATATATTTTACGCGATAGTAATTACGCGATAGTAATCAATTAATAATAAGGAAATATTTTTTGAAGGTAATTTTTTATTTAACTCGTAACATAAGTACATAATTGCTTTTCTACTACCAAGTCATTTTCTCCGGCTACAGGAAAAATATACCTACTATAATAAATTTGTTGAGTAATTAACCGAACAAACAACACCGATTTATTTACAAGCAATCTACTTTCCTATTACTGTTGTCGAAATCCAATATCTTCAATAACGGAAGTCATGTATTCATATTTAAATCAAATTTAATTATCAATAGCCAAATAACTAATTGTTTTTAAATCGTTTGTTACTCACTACAAAATATTGTAGGTTAGCTTTACAAATATAGTTTTTAACGCATTATATTAATTGTAATAATTTGAATGAAATAAGAAAAAAATAATCATATCTTTCGAATCATAGCGAATATACCCTTGATACCTCATATTAATATAGTATGGTTGTCTGTTAGCATTTATTTTTAATCTGTTTGGACCACCAAAAAACGGCCTTGTTGTAATCGCCAATGTTATGTAAATCTTTTCCAACAAAAATTCACCCTTTGTGCGTCGACTTATATTCTATGAAGTGAAGACAGCGGAAAAACATAAAAGTATCCATTACATTATTTTACCTAAGATGGACCATATCTTTTGTACTTCATCCCTAATCAGGTGTCTCAGATCTATTATGAGGCTACTTGTATTGGGATTGTTGTGACAAATTTCGCAGATTCTTATACCTGCTGCCCATCTCACACCTTTCTTAATGCGCTAAACCGTTTTACATACCTAGAGATCTATTATGGAACGGTAGGTAGAAAGGATTAGCTTTACCTATGATTTAAGAGGATCATTATCTTGTATCCTTTAGATTTTGACTTCAGATAATGGAAGACCAATTTGTTGAATACATTAAAATTCCAACAGGGAACGTTTCTCATTACACCACTTCCGACTAGTCTAGCTTTATTTTTATAAGTATCTGCATGTCATAACGGCTCTGGAATTTATAGAATTCTTGAATATTTATTAGCGGAGCAAGTTCTCTGCATTAGGAAACCAAGTACTATAAAATAATAAATATTAGCACGTTCTATTGAATTGAAAACGGTTAGGTATATCTACTTGGTGATATTTTTTATTGGAATTAACAAATCCCCTTTATGCCGTGATCCACGCTGTTTGTCGGTTACCTACTCGTGTTTTGACAACCACACCCGAAAAAATGCAAATGAAGCCAAACCAAAAACTCTTTCGCGACATTTCTTCGACAAAGTCCGAGGCGATGGCGAATAACAGTGAGCGACGATCGCATAAATCAAAAGCATTTCTCGGTGCTGAATGAGTATGCAAATTGCAAGACAATTCCGACACCCAAACTACCGAAAAGAAGTTCTCACGTAGGTATATCCTTTGATAAAAGCACTAACCAACGGTCAGTATAAGTAACGACATAATCTGGATTCCTCCAGTGAGGCAACGCATTCGAAATTGGTGATTAAATGAATCGCTCGGCCGGTAAGTCGAGCTGGGCGATTGGAATAAATGACCCTGTCTTGTATAATAGATATGATTAATGGGCAAAAAGGTCATCAGGTCAGGCCGGACATAGAGGGATGGACCGGACATCTACGATGGATTTAAAACCTGTTCAATTGTTAGGGTTTTTCCACATGCTATGGGGTGTGTTGTTTATTTACTACCCTTTCCAACAAAAGCAGCGTAACTAATGACGGCCGACCTGGCGCTATTCCTTTACCCTTCACAATTTTCACCCTTAGAATATTTCATTATAAGGAATTAGATTTGTCTAGCTTCGCCTAGGTCCTGTCTCTAGTACCTTTGGGAAAAACAGTTTGTTATTAATCCCTGTTCGAGGCCAAGACGAACGCTTATATTTTATTTGCTCTTGTACTCAAAACTTTTTCTTTTAATGGTTAGGATATCCTGTTTTAGAGCAAGCGTACGTTAGGTAATTTTTTATTCAATTTCCGTACGATTATTCGTAAAAAATAATAAAACTCGTGGACATCCTACATTACCTATTACTGAAATAAAAATAGGTAGTTACCATTCGGCTTATAAAAATTTAACTATCGATTTACAACCAGCTTTTCCAAACAATAAAGGGGTTATATAAATAACATTATAAATTTGTTTATATTGAACTTGTATTTATCGAGTTCTAAAAATCAACATTATATTCCCGATAAAAATTCGATTTAAAACGTTTGCGAATAATTGGTTCGCTTAAAGATTTGTAATATCTCCGAAGATATTTTATTCATTGGAACTGGAAGTTATTTTTACACCGTAAAACAATAACAATTTGAATTATCTAGCAGCGTTTGACTCCCTTTTATCTTCCGTTGCACAAACTTTAATTTTTTTTAATGTCATTTATAATTTTTGACCTAATCACTTTACACCAATCAGCTTTTTTCTTTAATACCGGGTGATTAAATAATTCCTGCAACAAATATTTGCTAAATTATTTTAGATAATAATAAAAATGTTGAAAATTGTTGAAAATTGATGAATTTTACCCAATTGTCAATTCTCATTGTTGAGAAATGATGTAGTAGTTGCTGTCGTACAGTTCTGTGCGCTCTTGTTCTAGGTTCCCTTCCGCCTAGTCCAGCAGATTCGGGAGTTTCAGACGTGGACAGCTCTTCAAGCGGTCACACATCGACAGACGAACTAAAGGCGAGACTCCAGCCGTCCATTCATTCACCTGTAGGCTCCTTGTTTCCGAGACATCCGTTTTCATGGAACAACTCACACCAGAGACCGGCGAATCATATGTCCCAGCAATTCTATCAACCTTTCCACTCAAGTAAGTACTACTCTAAATACCTTTTTTTTGTTTAATCGTTTGAAAGATTTAGAACTGATGATGCTAAATCTGTTGAAATTGATAAATATGGTATTACAGCACTAGTTGTTTTATAATGACTACCTGAAAATAGTGTTGTAATCAAAAGGTGATGTTTGTACTCGTATGTAGGTTGCACGGGTACTTTTGTTTTCCAATGATCAGGGAATTTACATAATTATTGTTGAGTTCTACTTTGTAACCCGGAGTAAGTTTTGACTCTGTTGAAAATAATTTTATCGGCAATAAAATTTTATCCTCTAGATATTTTCGATACGATAATGAAACTTAACCTACCTCAATATCTTTATTATTATTTATTTGCGTTATGTTTAAACTGCTAAATCTAACAATTTTTGGCGCCTATTTTTTAAATATAATAAACGACATTTCTTTCGGGATTTTTCCATATCTTCATAAACCGAATGAAAACAATATAATCTTCCTTCTAATATTTGGAAAGCCACGTGATTGTCAAAAATTATTGCACACGATACTGTTTTTTGAAAGTGCACTGATTCAGATACACTTTAGCATTTTAAAACCCCTTATCAACTAAATTATTTGATTATTTGTTATTACACAGATTTCAAGGTCTTCTTAATCTTGTATGAGCCTTGCGTCAAATGTGTAGTATATGTAAAAAATAAAAACGCAATTCCTAATAATAGTGCAAAACAAAAAACAACTTCGCAAGGTGTTTGTATTAAATTTGCTAAGCATGACCTAGGTTATAGCGTAATATATTGAGATAAACTTTTTTTTTTCTTAAGCACGGTCTAGACAATACTATTAAACTTATTTACACCATAACTAATTATGTATGTATATTGTTATTACTATATAAAAATACTAATTTACAATAGTCTTGCTTGACTTTTCGCATGTTTCCAAAAATCTACAGGTATCTTAATTTATCATTCCCAAAAATCATTTCCAATTGTAATTTATTTTATATTGGTCTAATGTAATTATAGCCAAAAATCAGTATACCGTAAAATGTACATTTAATAATTAACTGCTTGGACAAGGTGAGGGGGCTATGGGGACTGTTTCGTACGGCAGTTTTTATGTACATATACTTGACCTAGCCTAAGTCAGGACGTGTTGCTTAGTCAAAACCACAAAATAGGAAATGGCAATAACGTAATTCGAAATAAGCAGCTAGATTTAAAAATAACTAAAAAAATTGGCAAATTTTAAAAAACAAAATGCGTATACCTAGCCATTATTTTGTGGCGTCAATTTATTAATGGAAAAATTTATTGGAAAGGTGGTGTTTGGCTCGAACAGTTTTTTTAAAAGCGTATACTTGGGATATTTAAAAATCATTTTTGTGAAAATATTGTTCGCTTATTTTTGAATATTTTGGATAGATAATCTTTTTTGTTTTTATGTAAATATGTCACATATTCAGTGAAATAATTTTTAGTCCTGTATATTAATGAGAAAGTTATAGAAAAATCGACTCAAAACCATTTTATTACCTTATCATTTGTTACACCAGATACGTTCAATATTAAACTATAATTTTTATTTGTCGTTTGTAAGAATTCTTTAAAAATTCATTAGTAACCTACATTAAGTAATTGAAAAAAATACTTTATGGCAATTTTTCAACAAAACATTGTCTATTCGCAGACGTTGATTAACTGTTAAAAATACTTAAAAAATTAGTATTAAAAATTCAATCGCTTCGAACAGACAAACAAATAACAAATTCAAATGTTCCTACTCCGTCTTTTTTTTATCGCCAGTCTGCGCTTCCTCATAGAAACCGAAAGTCTAGCGGTGGTCTATTTTTGTTCACTAGTGACATTGACTGAGGTCAGTTTTACATAATCCGAAAAATTCGCCATGCCTAGTTCTGCTTCACCGAATCAACTTACAACGACGCGACGCTCAGTTACTATCGCGCGAATCTTTATCAATTATTGAATTTTTACCTCATTTTCACGGCTTTTGTCTTTTTTTGTTTTTTTTTACGGTTTTTTGCTAATTAATTATTTAACGTATTTTTGTTTGCCGTTTATTGCAATGAGTTGAATAAATTTTATGAAAGGAAATGGATTTTTTAAATTGTATGACCTAAAGAAAAAGATTCCGATGGTTAAGTAGTCGAATCTGCATTGATTCATTTAACTGGGTTTAATTAATTTGTTTAGCTTACACCATAAGCCGGTTTTTAAGTCGTTTTTTTATTAATATCCTCGAAAAAATATCTAATTGCTTCGCTATTTTTTATGTAGGTACATCAATTTACCTATTATTTTATTCAAACTGACCAAAAACGCCTAAGACAATTTAAGTCAATAAACAAAATTGTTTTTTTTGTACAGACTAATCATTAATCGTTATCTAATGATATTGTTTCATAACATCCAATTAATTAACCTACCTCAATTTTTTACTCATTTTTCTCATTCATTATGTAAAATGAAAACAAATATCATTTATTATAAAATAAAGCAATCAACCTGCAGGACATAATATTTCGAACTGAAATATATTGATCCTTAGTTTCTAAGTGCGACTTATTTTTTATGCTTTTAACGAAATTACCTACCTCAATCTTGCGCAAACACCTAATAAATATTTCCAAAAAAATTAAAACGGTCCGTGTCAACCAAAGCGTTTGAGTACATACAGTAAACATTTTTTTATTTGTTCATTAGCAGGATCCTCTCGAAAATTTGAAGGTGACACCTAAATTTAGCAGTCGCTATTTGAATTGCGATAAAAAAAATGTTTTCGATTTTTTATCTCATCTGTTATTTATACTATTTAATAATGTAATTTCATTCCACCGACCAAATATTGAAATTTCATATCGAAATGTTATCGCCAAAGGCGCAAGGCAGGTCAGTTTTCAATTTGCATCTTTGTCGAAAGTGCGTCGCGTCGTCGCAAACGATAGCAGTAACTATGCAAATAAAAAATAACATAATGTTTATTTTTTAGGGTAGATAAAGGTATTATTAGATATTTTTTTTAGATTTCATGTTTGCTTAACGTCTGCATTAAAAAATGTACTTGAATTTTTATTGATTTATATAACCTGTCCAAAATAATACATTATTTCTTTGAAGTGTCCAGTTACTCTTAAAATCAATTACTGAAAATATTATAGATCACAATTTAGTACGGTTTTGAAACTTTCTCATTTCGTATTTTCTTATATCTCATTGGTGTCCTTCGATAAACATTTTTTGACCTTGTTCTATTAGACAAATTAGAAAATTAAGCTATGGTCAAAACATATTGAAATTCCGAAATATTTTAATTAATTCGACGACAAAAATTTTGCGCTTCGAGATATGCTAATGCAACAATTCAAAACAGTTCGGGTCCCATTTTCAAATTTAAATTTTGACCTGTTCCAATATTGTGCTGATTGCAATGACATTTAAAATTGGATAAGGAAACTGTTCGGAATAGCTAACGTAGGTGGAAACTATTCTTATATCTGATATTTGGTGTATTATATTCAATCTAAATAAGCGTGCATTAGCAGGATGAATGCAATGATTTCGTTGCGTGTAAAATTTAATTCCAATTGTTTGAAAGTTTTCCGGTTTTTGTCCACCTGTTTCTCAATAAGAATTACGTCAATTCTCTGTTAGTTGTCTGTTGTAAACTAAGATGAAATGGGGCCTCCAATTTTCTTAAATTTACGTCACGTCATGAGCTATTTTCGGGTCGTATGTTCTGGTAACGTATCAATCTATAACGTATGTATACTAAGTGTGAAAGTGTAGGCAAAAAAAATATGAACATAAACTCAAATGATGGTAATTTTTTAAATAAATTATTAAAATTATGTTAACGTATGTCAATTAGATACTTTTTTATGTTTGTTTGACAGGATATCCTGATTATTTGTTTCTTATTATGGTTATTCAACAAATTATTCCTTATAAATTACTTGAAGAATACAATGCTTTAATAATAAAATTTATAAAATTTAGTAATAATAAGAATTTGTCAAATACTATCTATCTAATAAAAAGTTTATGTAACTACTTACATTTCCTAATTTTTAAGCCAAATTTACCGTTGAAAAAAATTAAAAATAGCATAAAAAAGCACCAGGATTCAATCGGAAAAATTTCTTCACACTTAATGTTTATACATTGTTTTGTATAAAATTAACTTCAAGGCCTCTTTATTTTCGGTGTTTATTTACAATTCGCAATAATTGACTTCCTTTTTCCTTTGAAAACAAGGATGTGGCCGAACGAAAAAGTTACGTTCTAATAACTCAGGATGTATGCAAGTATACGTTTAATTTTAATTTAATTTTACGCTAAAAATCACTTTAACGTTAATACGAACGGTCGTTGTAAGATTTCGTGTGGTCTTGTTCACTCTTTGGAAAATAATTAATTATAGGTACAAGGATTCCGAGTCATAAGACACCGGATTTCGTTGAGAAAATCTGTCATTGCCAGTCAATCAACCTACCTTCAAATCCTATGGTATTGAATGTGAATAAATTAGCATTTCGAATTTTCTTCGTTTATTTTTAATACATTTTGTATTCGGGTTTTATATTGATCGTTTGCAAAATTTGTAATTATTTTAGGTGAATGTTTGGTAGGCCTTATTTTATGATTAGGAAAATAACTAGCTTCAGTTTGCTCTAGATTCTAGATTATTTGAAAATGCCAAGTTTTATAATTCAGAAAGTTTTATTATTGAATTATTGTTTGAGAAACTATATTATTTTGTTACGTAAAATTATAGCCAATCAATTATTGGTTATTTATCACTATGTAGATACATACAAACAAAGAAAAACTGTATTCTCGAAGTAGTTACTTCGTTAAGTACGAATATTTATGTAAAACCTATTAATAAACATAAACAAATAACTATTAATTTTTTTCATTGTCTGAATGTATACCACAAAAATAAACAAAATACCTTAAAAAAATTCATATATTCAACTTTAACGATTT